GTACTTTAAAACAATATAAAAAAAATTTTTATGAATTGTGTAACAGATCTACAAATGATGTGACGGTTCCCCCTGTTATATAAAATATCCTAAACTTTAATGAAAGAAAAACCTAATTGGTATTTGCAATCTGAAATGGAGTAAAATTAATCTTATGACGATTTAATCTATAAGTCAACTTGGATATACAGATAAAAAGTGATACGTATTTTATGGTTCTACCGACATCCAAATTCTTAATACTACTGACATCACGTGTGACGTGACAATTAAAAATTTAAAGTTTGACAATGATGTGATTACTAATCTTTAAATATTAATTGTCACGTAAGGATTATGGTTTCGAGACTTTTGATATAAACCATATTTTATATGTACATATTTTTTTAATATTAGCGCAAATCGTTTAATATGTTTACTATGAGTCTAATTTATATCCTATTTCTTGCTAAGATTTATTAACTGTCTTAAGATAAATTTTCGTACAAACTAAATACACTAAGCATATTGGATAAGTATTCGATCGAAATTTTAATAATATCGTTACGTATAACGATAATGATTTGTAAAACAATCATTATGATACGTAAACAATCATTATGATATATAGTACTAAAATAGCTTTTATTATATGGATTACAAACTTATCTGAATCGGTCGAAGAATCATTCGGCTAATTTTTTTATCAGGTGTTCCAGAAATTATGATAACAGCTGTTAATATAGAGTTAAACGGTTAAACGATTATCTTTATTCTCCCATAAAATGTATCCCTTACTATATAGATAGATATATATATATATCTGATATATATAACAGGATCCCATAAAGTAGTACCTCGGCGAGTTTGAAAATACCCGGATACCCATGTCCAACTTTTACGAATAAACTGTAATGACTTTACTACCATTAAATTAGAAAAACTAACCTACAACTTTATCTGAAAGATTTAGTTTATTTAATAAAAAATCTAAGAAATACGTTCGTACGTACGTACGTACGTACTATATCAGATATAATTTTAAAAATAGGATACGCCACCTTAAAAAACCCTGGATCTTACCGATTGGCTAATAGTTTATTCACAATAATGTTAACATTTGCAATAACGTGTTTTTCAAATACGTATCAAAAGCTATCCTTTTTAGTCAAAATTTCAATATAAACCCAATTATTATTGTTCGGGGATCTGTACAGTGATAAAAATGCTAAAAATAATAGCTCCGGAACATCTATCTCGGAATATCTATTCCAATTAACGGCAGTACAAAACCGCAGGCAAAAACCATCTTTTTCCTAAAATTTCAAGTTTACTTTATTAGAATCGCATGCTAGACCGCTCATTTTTTTAAAGCTACGGCTCATTATAGCATACTTTTTTTGCAATTTATAATAAATGGAAAATAACTCAACAAATTGGATCTTCAAAAAACACGAATATGAAAAATACACTCCCTCACGAAGGGAAGGGATGCCAATATGGGAAGAGAATTATAAAAGAGCCAAAGGTGTCAAATTTATTCTTGAAGTCTCTTATGACCTTAAACTGTATCCTTATACGTTAATCTTAGCAAATTGTTTTGAGTTTTATAATTAATATGCGATATATATCTTTAACTTTCGTAAATTACCATAACTTGGATTTTAGTCCTCAGCAAACGATAGCAACAGCTGCTACCTTTTTACATAGATTTTATATGCGAAAAAGTCTCAACGAATTTCATCATTATGTAAGATTGTCGATTTTCCTTATAGTAAACTGATGAATCGAAAAAAATATTGAGGATGTGAATTCTCAAACTTTATTATTTGATCATTATTCTAAAGGATATTGGTGGGACTTGTGTATTCCTGGCGTGTAAGTCTGAGGAAACCACAAGAAAAATGAGCGAAGTGGCCGTGGCTTGTGCAAAGACCGCCAGAAAGGACAAGAATCTCAAAGACGAAAAAGTATGTGTGTTTTCTTTAATAAAATATCAAATGCAGTTTTATTAAACTGTATTAATTTATATTAATTAATTTAAATAAATAGGAGTTTGAAAAATGGCACCATACAATCACAAAAAGGGAACCAACTATAGCGGCGACCTTGTGTTTCGATTTAACTTTAGACCATCCATATCCACATCTTATAAAAATAATTCGAGAACTTGAAGGTAAAAAAAAACATTGTTTTTATTATCAATTTTATTATCAAATTTTTATTATCAATTTTATTATCATTTTATTATCAAATTTTTATTATCATTTTATTATCAAATTTTTATTATCATATTATTATCAAATTTTTATTTTCAATTTTATTATAAATTTTAATATGGTCACATCCGCATTGATTTATTATTATGAATACAGGTGAAATAGAAATTCGCAAAGCGATTGCGGGTAAAGCTTGGTCAATAATTAATGATAGGTGATTAAGTAGAAAATGTTTTTAGTATACATGTTCTTAAATTATATGGTGTGTTTATAAAATCTTTTCCTTTCTAAATTGTGTACATCTCAATATTCGAGTGTCTACAGCTTCAATGCTCCAATTTCACTCTTTTACAAACCTAGCATAATTGCAAGCGCTGCGATTTTCATTGCATCAAAGGTAGCTAATGTTCAATTAAATGAGATAACTAAACAAGGGACTTTATGGTGGAGGGTTGCTCAGATCGATGTTTACGAAGTATCAGGTAAAGTATATTTCAAATTATCATTTATCATCAATTTATTACTCATTATCTAATAATTATCTAATATTTGATGATTATTATTGATTTAGAGGCAGTAGATGAAATATTACGTCTTTATCAGATTCGTAAACCGAAACTGGTCAAAAAAAAGGTGGTTTTTGGTCGATTATTTTAATGTTACTTTTAAAATTTAAATTTTTCTAACTTATATCTTGTCACCATATAAGAACGGTGAATCAAAACATCCTCTTGAGGATGCTGAAATTGTTGTAGAAAATCCTTATGAGGATCTTTCAGAGAATTGTACACCACAGATAGGGCAGCAAAGTCAAAGTCCTGATGTACAAATTGAAGAAACTCCTAATAATGAAACACCGACAGAACATGATGATGAGATGGAAGATGGCCAAATTTTAGATGAAGTAACAATTAATGGAACAGATCAGCACATGGGAAATGCGGAACCAAACGGGAACACAGGGATGATCTTGGATTCCAATGACGAAGATCAACCTTTAAACTGACGTTATTTTTCCATAGAACATTAGCACCAAGTTATTGTCTTATAAGTTATAGTTAATTATACCGGTTTTGTCTTTGGATATCCGGTTCGAAATTATTATAATTTGAATTCATTATTCAAATAATATATATTATATAAAATTGTGCAATAAATTTGGTTTTTTATCTGTTCAATTTTTTAATATTAAACTGCGAATTCGCACTAACATGTATATGAATGAGCTCTTTAAATTTTCTTTTTTTTTTCTGCCTTAATTTTAAAGATTTTCATATCATCATATCATATTAATCATTCCAATTAGTAGCCTTTTTTTTTTTTCTTTTAGGAAAAAAGCTTTTGAGCAATAATTTCTTATTGCGTT